TACAAATTATTAAATTGGAGATTTTCCTTTCCTCTTTATTTTCTTCACAATTGCCTATCTTTAAACCTAGACTATATAGATGTTTTCTCAAATTGTTGCTGTGTAATTTATATACATGGTAGCAATTTGCTTCAGATACACATGTATCTGAAGGTATATTGAAGTGCAGGTATATTGAAGTGCACTGACAAATTTTTATTTTTAACACAAATGAATAATCATGTAAGTACTGGAAGAATTAATTTCCTGAGCCTGTCTTTACAACTTTCACATTAGTAAGCACAGTATTCTGTACACAGTAGGTGATCAGTAAACAACTATGGAATGGTTTTCCATTTTGATTAAAATTGAGAAACTTATGTAACTGAAAGTGTGAATTTTGAAAGACTTTCTTAAATATTTGCAGCAAAATCCCTATCAATATGTAACTCTCTTGCATTAACATATACATCACATGTTATAAAATTGAAATTTATTTTGCTGAAACACTTAATTGATTTTCATATAAATTATAGTGCAAAAGAAACATTATAGAGAAAAAAAGAGATAACCTCATTTAGGGCTGTAAGGTCACCTATGAATTTATTAGTGGAAAGATTATCAGAGCTTTAGATTTTTCTCATTGACTCTGACCAACATGCCTGTGGAATAGTGTTTTGATACTACATTTATTGTTAAGGGACATTGGGAGTGGATTTCATTTTACTATGCCAGTTATCAGCACTGCCTTGTCATTTTCATCTGCTGCACATTTGTTTGCCCGTCTTCAGAATCTCACTTTAGTGTTATCTCCCTGGCCTGTTGACATAGGCCACTGGTCTGGCAGAAAGAACACTATCAATCTGAACACAATAACAAAGAACAGATTACAAAGAGAGAGATAGTTGTCATAGCCGCTTTCCTGCATTTCATTCCCAAAGGCCCTGGACTCAAAAGATTCCCTTGGCCCACCAGCCAAACCCATGTGGTAGAGTAACACCATATCAGTGTCATAATCTAATCTATAGATGAAAATATTTCCTCTTTGGAGATTTGATATATTCTGACTGTTTCTAATCTCTTTCTCCTGCCTGTCCCTTATCAATGGAGGAAAAGCTTGTCAAACTCATTAATTCTCTTCCATTTGAACTGGGAAATGTTATCAGGGAGAATGCCTCTGCAATTTTAAATGCTGATTTGTTCTTTTCTCAAGATAGACCACAAAATGTCTTTGAAGATTTTAAATGCTTTCATATAAATGCTATCCTTATAGGCTTGTGCAAAAATTTCATTGACTAGTAAGATCAGAATTTAATCATGAATGGATGGAATTTCCTGAATGTGGTANAATTTTCGGACCCTTTCAGTAACTAACAGGATCTCTTGTTCTATTTAAATTTAGATCAGAATGTTTTTCTGAAATTGAATCTTGGCATCAAGAAGGAACTGGGGAAAACTGATCAAATATTGTATATTCCTTTCCTCTTATTTCATGAGTAAATTAGACTTTAGGTCACAGTGCTTGATATGCTGGTGGTTTCTGAGTGAAGATCCCCATCCATGTCCCCTATGGAAAGTGTGGCCCCTTTGTGAATGTTTTGCCCCCACTGAATTGTGTTATATTACCCCCGGGCTCTTGCCACAAAAATAGAAGACATACAGGCAGAACAATGAACTGATGTTTCCAGGAAGGAAAAAAAAAAACAAAAAACTGATCAATTGATATCTCTCCATGAAACCTGAAATGATAAACATGGAAGAATAAGCCAAGGAGAAATAACAGCTATAGATGAAAAGTCCTTAAAAAAATGGTAAAAAAGAGAAAGAAAAGAAGATTTGTGGGATAATAATAGATGAGACTTGGAAGTTCAGCTTCAGAAGTCAGACCAAGGGCCTGAGATGCAGGACATACTCAGGGATCACCTTCTTCTATTTCCCACCAGTTTTCCAGACTCAGAAAGCCTGAGGTCTAGTGGGAATGCAATATGAATGAGGGATTACTCAGAAATGACACGAGATAAAATATGTCAGAATTGATGTCCCTCTTGATCCAGCATTGGTAGCAACTTGAAAAGTATGGAGAATAAGATTCCAGAGAAAGCTGTTACTTTCCTCTTATGTCTAAAGTGTATTTATCTGACGTGCATGCTAAGTTGCTTTAGTCATGTCTGACTCTTTGTGACCCTGTGGATTATAGCCCGCCACACTCCTTTATCCATGGGATTCTCCAGGCAAGAATGCTTGAGTTGCAGTTTCCTACTCCAAGTAGACCTACTCCAAGTCTTATGTCTCCTGCATTGGCAAGTGGGTTCTTTACTACTGGGGCCACCTGGCAAGCTTTATGTATCTTTAATTGAGTCCCAGTTCCTAAACTTCAAAGTCTCTAACTTAAATGTGAACCACATGCATAATATTTTAGAAAATAAGATTTAATATTAAAAGGATAAAAAATAAGCATTTGAAGTGTGCTTCCTCAACCATGGGCATCAGAGTCATGTGGTATGTTTATTTCTGCTGCTTAGTCACTTCAGTCCTGTCCGACTCTGTGTGACTCTATGGACTGTAGCCTGCCAGGCTTCTCTGCCCATAGGATTCTCCTGGCAAGAGTACTAAGTGGGTTGCCATGCCCGCTTAGCACCCAGGGAATCAAATCTGGGTCTCCTGCATTGCACGCAGGTTCTTTCCTGCTGAGCCACCAAGGAAGCCCAGAGTTTCCTGGGTCTCTCTCAAACTCAGGAATCCTAAGGACATAGGACCTATAGAAAAATGGCTCAGGGATCTGTATTTTTAACAGTTTATCCAAGATGATTCTTTGTATGTGTGGTGAGGTGGGGGGCTTGAAATAAGACCCATTTATTGTCTCCCAATTTCTGAAGTTTAGAAATCTGGGCACAGAATAACTGGGTTCTTTGCTCAGGGTCTCTCACAAAGCTGCAGTGAGGTGTTAGCAGGGCTGCATTCTAATCCAGAGCTCAGATCTCTCTTCCACACTCACTCAGGTTGACAGAATTCAGTACCTTGTGGTTGTAAAACTCAGCCGCATTTCCTTGATGACTTATCGGCAGGGATTGCTCTCAGTCCCTCAGGCTACTTTCAGGTCCTCACTACCTGTCCACCCCATAGGCAGTCTACAAGTGGGCATCTGCTTTCTACCAGGCCACAAGGAAAGTGTCTGTTGCTACTTGTCTCTTTTCAAGGGTTGACTGCTTAGGTCAGGTCCATCCAAAATAACCTCCCCTTTGATTGTTGTGTTGGATATTGTCCTCTGACCCTTTAGATTCACTTGGCTATCTAAATGAATCCTGGCCTCAGTGACTGCAACAATTAGAGAAGCTGGGATATAAAGACTTCCCTTAGGAATGAGGGAAGACTCAAAGATGGGAGTATTGGACTATATCCATTGCAATTTACATAGTTACATCCTAACCAATCTACCCTCTCCCATAAGAGTTGGGGCAAAGTAAACTTCCTTCACCAAGTTATTAAGAAATATAACAGCAAAGAAAGCACTAGCATACTGAAAATTCTTGCTGATGACATTCTTCTAGGCAAGAGATGTCAGTGGGAGAGTCTGCAATTTAATTGGGTTTCCATATTTCGGAGGAAATGATGTGATCCCTTGATGATAGAGGCCAAGTGGGTGGTTATTCATTCTTAGAGGCAGGGATGATATACTTTTAAAGAATGGGGCATTAATCAGTGTTTTAACCTAAAGGGGTAGTATTCATCTGGAGTTTTTTGTCCTCAAAGAATGTTTTGCAATATCTGGAGACATTTTTGGTTATCACAATGGTGAAGAGTGCTATTGGTATGTAGTAAACAGAAGTCAAAGATATTGCTACAATATGTTACAATGTATAGGACTCCTGACACACAGCAAAGAGTTGTCTGGTCCTATATGTCAATAGTGCTGAGGTTGAGAAACTCTGACCCAAAAGAATCTATAATGAAGACTAACTGACAAGAGGTACATAAAAATAAAATAGATGGACAGATCACTAAAGTTTAATTTAGCACACATAGGCAGAAAACTTCTGCATTTGATGGACAGACAACTGACTCAGTTGCCAGAATGGGAATTCCTGATCTTTTATCCAGTTTCTCAATCTAAATTATTTACAGATTGAAACATGAGGACAGGTTTGTTCCTATAAGAAAGGGATCTTTAAAAAAAAATTTTTAACTGAATTATAGCTGATTTGCAACACTGTGTTAGTTTCAGGTTTACAACACAGTGATTCACACACATACATGTTTGTGTGTGTGTGTGTGTATGTATATTCTTTTTCAGATTATTTTCTCTTCTTGGTTATTGCAAAATATTCAGTATAGTTCCCTGTGCTATACATTAGGCCCTCATTGATCACCTATTTTATACATAGTAGTGTGTATAAGGAAGGAACCTTCAACGTAAATGCAGGTATAACCTTGACTGTTCCCTCAGCCTTCCCCAAAATGACATATAACTCTCACTAGAATTAGAAAATATCCAGATCTTTGGACTGTATTAAATACTTGCTCTAAACTGAGGCTAATCCTTGGAGAAATAAATATCACCATGGTCTGTTAGAATAGGGACTTACAGAAGTCAGGAGATATATAAAGTCTTGACCTTAGTCTGCCTCATGTTTGGTCCAGGGGGACCATTGGTTCATTCTGTGTGTGTGTTTTCACCCCCAGAATATAAATGCCAAAGGGATATACTTGGTAACTAATGGGATCCCTATATTGGTTCCCTGATCCTTGAGGGAGGGCTATTAGCAGAGTTAGAGACAACTGGAAGCATCTGGACCTTCTCTCTCCTCTCTCCTTCCTGCCCCCAGAATGAAACAAAGTGAATGGAAAATTCCAGAGTGCAAGGTACAGTAGTAAACTATTTACCAGCCACTGCTCTGGTCTCTATGTTTAAAAATAAACTCTGATTAGCCCTGGTGTGCATGTAATAGGTTATTTATATGTGTGTGCTAACCCTTCCTGAAATTTTAACATAAAGGTAGAAATAGCCTTTCATTAACATTTACCTTCTGCTTTGGTGTGTGGAAGTTGCCGGTGAAAACAAGAGAAGCATGAAAAGCAGAGGAGGGTCAGACAAATAGGGCCCTGTGGGTACAAGCTGTGTGTTCTAGGTTGCTATGGAGATTGTTAGGGTCTTAAAGCCAAGAATGTTGAAGGAGACATGCAGAGAGAGTGAGATGAACTTAGGCACCAAAAAAATTAAAAAATACCGTATAGGAGAAGGAAAGCTCAGAGACCATGTGCTGAGTCTTCTTCCTCACCATATTCATGGTCTCAGGACTCAGGTATCCTTGCTCAAATTTTAATCTCTAATATTAAATAAATAATTTATAAAGAAAACTAGGAAGCCAGTGAAAATATACATGCAGTATGTCAATAAAAATAAAATTTTGGAAGAGGCTGTTCATTTTATATATGAGCAATATGTGGGAAAAGTGACATGGCATCTATGCAAATATACTAAAGGGGAGAAAAAGTAACAAATATGTAAAATAGTAAAAGTTTATTTGTTATGAGTGTATTATGGAAGCAAATACAACTCAAATAAGCATCTCCAAGAATTTTAAGTACTCTTAAAGAATTTATGAAAACATTTCCAATTAAAAGAATTCAAAATTAAAGAATATGAGAAAAAAAATGGATTCCCATGGATGTTTCTAATCTCTGTAAAAATAAAGAAATAAAAAGCTAAAACACTGAGAATGAAAAAAAATAAGTAAACAGACATAACTCAAGCAAATTATTTAAGATGAAGAAAGTTTTGAGGCAAATAGCATAACACAGTGGTAAAAGATTTTTTAAAATAATAAGATAATATGAGGTACAGAAGAGATTTATGAAAGGTTTCTTGAAGTCTCTGAAGAGGGTCCAACAAACTAAAAGTAAAAATAAATCCCCGCTTAAAATAGCAGATAATTTTCCCCAAATTCAAGAGAACAAAATGGCAGATAACACGATAACTTAAATATTGCTGGAAATTATTTCATCGAAATGGTCCTTTTACCTATTTGGGTGAATCAGCTACAAAAGTATAAAATCTTCAGGTATATAAGCTGAAAAATTCAAGGGAGAAAAAAAATTAGGATAACCTGATACTTCCTCAGAACAACATTAACTATCTGAAGTTAATAGGTTAAAGTCTATAAAATGCTAAAGAAAAAATTATGATTCACTGTATTTTACCCAGGCAAGATGTCAATAAACTAGAAAAGGATACAAACAATCATTTTCAAATATAGCGACTATCAAGGACTATAGCATCCAAGAGAGCTGCAAAAAATTAAATAAAATTACTCAGTGGAAAAAAAAATAATCCAGCCAAACCAGAAGCTCTAGTAAGAGGACTAGTGATCAAAAGAATACCAACATTACTCAGTAGATTTATAAGGTAGTTTGAACTTACTAGATTGAAAGTATGGGGGATTTTTGCACTGAAGACTGTTCTTGAGACCATAAATTTTTGAGCCTATCACTAAAACTGAGACATTATATATTTAAAATTGGGAGATAATAGTGAATGCATTTCTAATCCTCACTGTTTGTTATTTGGCTTTGCAAGTATATCCCTGTGTTTTCTTGCAGACTTTAAATACATTAAAAAATACATGCCAAAACAATCTAGTCAGAAAATGAAGAAAAGGCAAGAATAGATATTTTAACAATGAGGGATTAAGGATGACAGGTAAGCACATACAAAGACGTTCAACATCACGTGCTATTATTAAACTACAATGAGATTTTAGTACAAACCCATCAGAATGCTTAAAATAAAAAATAAAAAAGCAATAATACCAAATGCTGTTGAGGGTGTGGAGAAACTGGATCACTCCTTGTAACACTGAGTTTGACTCCACATTTTTTGGCTGTTTGACTGTTGACAACTTTTAATCTCTATAGTTTTGTGCCAGAAGCATGCTTCTTAATCTCCCAAAGCATTACTGTAATGCTGCTATTGCCTACCAAATATCATTCCCCACTTTTTGCTAATAGAATGCTGATTTTAATTAAAGCATCAGTGTACTCAAAGCTCCACTTCCCAGACTTCCTTGCAGATAGGAGTATGTAATGCATTTTATAATCAATGAGTTCAGTGGCAGAAGTCAGCTAGATGCTTTCTGGAAAATGTTTGTTCTTACATATATATATATATATATAAATTTTATTTATTGCTGCACTGGGTCTTCATTGCTGTGTGGGGGGCTTTCTCTAGTTGTGGCAAGCAGGGGCTACTCTTCAGTGCGGTTTATGGGCTTCTCATTGCGGTGGTTTTTCTTGTTGTGGAGCATGGGCTCTAGAGCACAGGCTCAGCAGTTGTGGTGCATGGGCTTAATTGCTCCATAGTATGTGAAATGGAATCTTTGTCCCCTGCACTGGCAAGCAGATTCTCATCTGAGCCCCAGGAAAGTCCTGTTTAAGCTCTTGATAGGGGCTCTGCTTCTATCTATTTTCATTTTCATCTTCCTGCCTAAACTGTTGGTCTTACATCTAAGGGAGGGACAAATTTTCACAACTATGAAGACAAAAGTTCATGCTGAGAACGTGAGATAGTGTCGAACAGAGATAAAAAGGAGATGAAGTCATTGAAGACTGCCTCAAGAAAGGGTAGGAACCTCTGAACTGCCTGCTTCCTAACTTCTCATTTTGTGAGAAAAATCAACACGCAAAACTTTTAGAGTAGTATTACTAGTAGGGTAGAGCCAAATGCATTTCTCTAAGGTTCAGTTTCTCATCTATAAAATGAGGGGGAAAATATATATATATATTCATAGATTTATTTTGAAAAGAAGATTATTCTGTTTAAGCCACTATTATTTCTATTCTCTGCTATTAACATCGAAAGCTTTAACAGTTACATTTGTTTTGTTTACTGCTGTATCCCTTATATCTAGCCTGAAACAAAGTAGCCATTAAATATATATTTACATAAACTCACACTGTGTACATGACTCCCACTGAGGAATTGTATTTATAAAATTTGGGTTGTTGAAGATAAGTATCGTGACATGCATTTAATATCAGTTTATTAAATTATAATTTTCTTCATACACACATCCTTACTTCTTAAGATTAGCCTGGTTCTACAGAAAAATAGACATCTTTGGGGGATATTTACACCAGGGAGGATAAAAGTTTAGGGCAGAGAATGTTCATCCCAAAAGCGTTTTTATATTGATGAAATAGAGAAGACAAAACATTTAGTGACATATCTGAAACATGGGTTTGGACTTTGACTTTACCTGCTAGCAGTTAAATGGGTAATAATCAGCCACGTTCTTTAAATATTTAAAAACTAAATGTATCTTTTTATCTTCATTTTATATATAACACAATTCTTATTAGATTTCACATGATTCTGTTTGGTTTTTCCAAAAGATAAATGATAGAATTAGTTTTTAAACAATCTATCCATAGGTCAGTCCTGAAAATAATATTTAATAGGTAAATTAAAAGTTTTACGTTATTAAATTTAACATGTCTATAAATCCGTGGTGATAGAGTAATAGAACGAATAGGACTTCCTCTACTCTTTTTAAAGATGGCTGCAAAGACCTAATGAGAATGTTCCTCACCATGGCTACTTTTAACTGGTAAGGTGGGCATAGTTCTTTCTCTAGCTCAAGGAGAGCACAGTGAGTCGTGAGTGGTGAGATTGAGAGTTCTGCACTGAAATACCCACTCTCTTCTTGTGTTGTTCCTTTAATGGACCGGAACCTGGTGGTCTGGAGTTGACGATAAGAAAGTAAGAGAGAGGTTGTCTTTTTTCCATTGTATATCCTTGCCTCCTTTGTCGAAGATAAGGTGACTATAGGTTCGTGGATTTATCTCTGGGCTTTCTATTCTGTTCCATTGATCTATATTTCTGTCTTTGTGCCAGTACCANTGGCGCACAGGCTGAGAGCCCCGAGCCCGGTTTTCTACCCATATTTATAGAACATCCAATTTCAAACATAAGCAGGGGTCATTTAGCGAAGCGGATTGGTTACATGTTCGCGGGGGTCTTTTCATTGGTCAGACATTCGCGCGCGCGGGATCTTTCCGTAAACAAGTTCTGATTGGCTGTATCTGGGTGGCCTGATAGTCTCTGACTGGTTGTGTCTTGGTGACCTGATAGTCGCCTTAGTTGCCAGGGTGAGGGCCTGGTCTTCCTGCTTCTGCCTCCTATCATGGCGTTATGTTTGCTCTTCCTACATTCCGTTTGTTCTTCCTACAATATATAACACAATTCTTATTAGATTTCGTATGATTCTGTTTGGTTTGTCCAAAAGATAAATGATAGAATTAGTTTTTAAACAAACTATCCATAGGTCAATCCTGAAAATAATATTTAATAGGTAATTTAAAAGTTTTACATTATTAAATTTAAGATATGTCTATAAATCCGTGGTGATAGAGTAATAGAAGGAATAGGACTTCCTCTACTCTTTTTAAAGATGGCTGCAAAGACCTAATGAGAATGTTCCTCACCATGGCTTCTTTTAACTGGTAAGGTGGGCATAGTTCTTTCTCTAGCTCAAGGAGAGCACAATGAGGCGTGAGTGGTGAGATTGAGAGTTCTGCACTGACATACCCACTCTCTTCTTGTGTTGGTCCTTTAATGGACCGGAACCTGGTGGTCTGGAGTCAACGATAAGAAAGTAAGCGAGAGAAAGAGGCTGATACCCCCTGGTTTACCCGGAAACCCAATAGAGCCCTGTTCTTAGGGCGGCGCTGCTGCGCGGAGGCACCGGGCGCCCTCTCGAGAGGGTCTTAGTATGGCTAATTCATTTCAATGTATGACAAAAACTACTGCAATGTTGTGAAGTAATTAGCCTCCAACTAATAAAAATAAATGGAAAAAAAAATAATAAAAAATAGAAAAAAAATAATAAAAAATAGAAAAAAAATAATAAAAAATAGAAAAAAAATAATAAAAAATAGAAAAAAAAAAAAAGAAAGTAAGAGAGAGAAAGAGGCTGATATCCCCTGGTTTACGCAGAAAGCCAATACAGTCCTGTTCTTAGGGCTCACGCTGCTGCACTTGGGCACCGGGCGCCTTCTCAAGTGGGTGAAGGCGCAGGGCGCCTTCTCGAGAAGGTCTTAGAAGCCCAGGCAAGAAAGTGAGCTCAGCGGGCCTCCGCACTCCAAGGAATTAGCCAGAGCTAGAGAGAGAAAGACAGAAAGAATA